ATTTTAATAAGGTGACAAAGTATCCCTGTCAGTTTAAAAACTTTGTTTAAAGCGCATTTATGTTATGGCTGTGTAAACAACCATTTTCCTACACTTGCATTTAATGGTGTTTATGTATTAGATAAAAAATGCAATAACTTTTTTTATTAGAAATGCTCTTTATTCAACTCCAGGATGTCCCTCTAAAGCACAATCTAATTGGAGGATTTGTTATCCGAACTCTGAATTAAAAAACGTATGGACCTTTCCTCACAGGCTATTTATCCCAAGTAAAATAGTCTAGTCTAGTTACATCTTCTTCCGGAGCGGCATTAAGACTGATTTCCCTCCACCCTTGACAAGCCAAACATTTACTTCTGTCTATTTCAAACGTGAGTTAAAGTTTTTTTTTATCGGCTCCGAATATGAGTTTATGAAATATTTGAGACCTCAGAGGTTGCGATTATTGGTATGTTTACACAGATAAAGAAGGTGATTGGAGATGAGGCTAGCTAGCGGTAGAATGCAAATAACTGCAGCTCTGTTTATGAACGTCTTATTTTCATATTTCATATTCGCCTGAACTGAGAGCTTAGTGATTAATGTACCAACGTATATATTTGTTTTTGTTTACCTGATAATGCTAAATATGAACTGTGGAACAGGCTGTAAATCTGTCGCAGTGGTTATAAAGGCAATCGTTCACTCTCATATTTAGTTTTTTCAGTTATCAAGTAAGGCATTTTTTTTAAACGATGCAAAATTCCCAACGTTAATAACGTTTTATGTGTTTGTTTTGAAAGGCGTTGTTTGATGTGTCCTTTTATCGTACACCGTTAACCCTATGATTATTCCGGTATTTAAGTAGGGCTTGGTGATACCGTGAAGTAGGGCTATTATCGTGATATAATTCTCCTCTATAAAACGATAACAAGAGTAAATGTTCGATATAATATTTATGCGATTGAAACGGCGCCATATAGTTACATTTTTACCATGGCGTTGAGGTGCTGTTTTTGTGTTTTCAACTGTGGTTATCAGTGTCTAGATGTATGCTACTATGGAAGAACAATGGGTAATTTTAACAAAACTCAAAAAACAGTCAGAATAACTAAATTTCACCATATAAAAATGAGGTGGTTACAATTTTTTACAGATGTTACTGTTTTTGATAATGAACAAATTTACATCTGCATCCTAACTCCTAACTGCTACTGTCAAATGTGCATTTCTAAGAGACTATATACAAAGTACTCCACTCCATTACTTGAGTGAAAGTACAGATACTGCTGGGCAAATATTACTCCATTACAAGTAAAAGTTGTAAAGACAGATTTTTACTTTTAAAAGTACTTACGTACCAAAAGTAAATTTCCTTTTTTATGTCGATGCGTTTCATTGCTGTACGTAGTAGTACTTGCAATACTTCTGAAGCAACTTACAATACATTACACCTACTGAATACACTGACTAGCTTGTAGTATCTTTGGAATAAAGAGCTTTTAGAATGTTAAAAACCTAGATGTATACTATGGAAGAACAATGGGTAATTTTAACAAAACTCAAAAAACAGTCAGAATAATTAAATTTCACCATATAAAAATGAGGTGGTTACAATTTTTTTACAGATGTTACTGTTTTTGATAATGAACAAATTTACATCTGCATCCTAACTCCTAACTGCTACTGTCAAATGTGCATTTCTAAGAGACTATATACAAAGTACTCCACTCCATTACTTGAGTGAAAGTACAGATACTGCTGGGCAAATATTACTCCATTACAAGTAAAAGTTGTAAAGACAGATTTTTACTTTTAAAAGTACTTACGTACCAAAAGTAAATTTCCTTTTTTATGTCGATGCGTTTCATTGCTGTACGTAGTAGTACTTGCAATACTTCTGAAGCAACTTACAATACATTACACCTACTGAATACACTGACTAGCTTGTAGTATCTTTGGAATAAAGAGCTTTTAGAATGTTAAAAACCTATGGGGAAAACTAAACAAAACGACAACAAAAAAATTATTATTTAACACCCCTACAAAAGCAGGATGGTAGTGATCTCACACAGCTCTGACAGTGTGTGCACACATCTATGTGTAG